GCAGTACGATGATGAGATCATGCTTAGTCAAGTTTTGAAAAGATCGTGTCCTTGATTATAAGGAACTTCGGATTATAATCAACGTACAAACCTAAACGAAAGTTAACAGTGATTAATCTCAGTTCGATTCATAAATCAACTCAACTGTTGTCCAAAGTTGTTAGACCTTTATTTTCTCAAAAATCACTTTTGGATTCTTGAGTGTTTCTTATACTCCCTGTGCAGAAGAAAAGCATGTTGCGCTCTATATTTCTTACTGTATGTCATATAATAAAAAACAATCTGTGAATGTTAGTTGCTTTCAAGCATATAGTTTGTCACAAATTGAATTATCAAAGACTGACTGAATAAAAAAGCTGCACTTAGCGTGATTCGATTTGTTTTATAAACCTACAGGCAAGTCAACAAATATAAAATGAATTCAAAAAACCAGTAATATGGCAAAAACCTCAATGATTGATTATTAATGTGATCAAAATCAAAACGGATCTTTTACAGCAAATTGTTTCAATTTTGTTCAAGGCGACAATGGATTTCAAGAAAGAGTGTAATCAAGCAAGAATCAGGGATCTTCTGCTGCTGTCGGAGAGAAACTCCGACTGGATCACAAACTTTTCTCTTGATGAAGTAAACTCTCCAAATATATTTCATACATCATGTATATAGCATATATGAGAAAAGTAGAAGCCGTCATAAAGAGATTTGTCTTCTTGCTCTATAAGGTAGCACATGTTATTTTTTAGAAAAACGTGTCTTGTTCTATTCACGTTATTTCTGATGTTATTTAATAGATACCGATCAAATATCTTTATCGCTTTTCTGGCCTTCTCCTTCAGGCAGAAATTGTATCATACTTCTTTGCCGTTTCCTTTATATTCTGTCTTTTTCATTTATTTAAGTATCATTCTACTTTTTCATGTAATTTTATGTTAGTGTTCATGCGTCCGTCCAGACAGCGAACGAATATTTTGTCTTGTATGTCTATAATCTCAACTGCCGTTCTGTACAGTAGTAAGCAATATTTATAAAGTATAGTTTGTCAGCACACAGATTGTTTAACTTTTGGATATAAAAATAATTGGAATAGAGTAAGTATTATCTCTCTAGCATCAATATTTCGTTTGTTTATAAATCTATGGCAGTAGTAATGAGAGATGATAGACATGTATTGTACCGTTAGTTAAAAGCAAAATGCATGCAGATTGGCGAGGGACTGTTTTCTTAGCATAGTCTAAAAATATTCTATTTTGAGCGACATCTGTTGCCAAAGGTTGGAAAATTTTTCCTAAACAAAATTTGCGTCAAATAAAATATTTTTTTAAAAGCCTTGGTTAAATTCTGTACACTTCATTAAGTAAAAAATGGGATTTGAAAGTAGGTTATCGACTGTGCTGAATTCGAAAATGCCCTCTCGATTTATTTTGCATGAACTTTTTTTGGAGTCGATGATATACAGTAAGAAATATAGAGCGCAACATGCTTTTCTTCTGCACAGGGAGTATAAGAAACACTCAAGAATCCAAAAGTGATTTTTGAGAAAATAAAGGTCGAACAACTTTGGACAACAGTTGAGTTGATTTATGAATCGAACTGAGATTAATCACTGTTAACTTTCGTTTAGGTTTGTACGTTGATTATAATCCGAAGTTCCTTATAATCAAGGACACGTTCTTTTCAAAACTTGACTAAGCATGATCTCATCATCGTACTGCCTCAATATTGCCCAGAAATATTGTGAATGTATATGTTTCTGAGTATTTAATTGCAATTAATGTTGCTAAGTAGTATAAAAAGGTTTGCACTACTCGACTGATTTGATATATGAGACTGGCTCAGAAATTTAAAATTTGTTTCACACCGGTTGCAATGATATTAGTATGAGTCATTCCATATGTTCAAATCTTTATTCTTAAACAACAATTTTTAATTCAATATATTCACATAATACGTTATATTGCGGCAATTCTAGACCTAATTGAAATTCCATTGCAACATAAATGTCGGATAATTCATAGACAGTAGTGGTTCCCCACATGTCTGTGAACCAATTGTTTTTATTTTTCAAATAATTATTCTCATACCACCAACCATCATGTGTGATGTAGATTGCTTTACCATATTCTGGTAAAGCAGCAAAGTTATATTTAAGGCAGCGAAAATCGAAATTGTCAAATTCTTGCGAAATTTTGATAAGCTTGAGACGACTCAAAATCTCATATTTTCCAGGTAATACACTTTTGAATGTATGACGAAGTGCTGGAATATATCTAAATTAGAGAACCAATAGCAAATGTATGATTTAGAATGAATGGCTATACTGTACCTTTCAGATATCAAAGCTACATGGTCATTCAAATCTTCGTCGTATTTTGTTATGGGTGGTCTATATCGTTCTGTTACAGGACAATATTCTAAAGAATCCATGTTCACAGCTAATATACGTTTACGTTGGGTAAGATGAAAATAGATAAATTTTGATAATGGAATTGAATCGAATAACTAAAGATAAACAGAAACACATATGAAGTCAACTCTTTCACTTTTTCTCTCTCAGACAGCACCTCTTGTGACAACAAAGGATACTTCTTTTGTAATTTATCGAATGTGAGCGACATTTGAAGTTTATCATGCAATGACATATCAGCTCTATATGTGAAAAAACGTTCTTTTGCTGCATAACCTTTCATGTCCAATGGTGATAAAGTAGCAAACATCAACAACTCGACGAAATATCTTCTGACAACATATGAGTCTTTAAGCCACATTTCGTTGGTTATAATATTTTCTAATAAATCTTTAGGATTATTTGTGCTCTGAAATATGTCAAACAGATAACGTTGTGCCAGTTGTTTTCCGTAGCAGGTATGTATAATGTAGGTCCAAAAACACGTGTGATTTATTAATGAATACAATTTCGTACATGTTTTCGATAAATTAATTAAACTGGATGATGATGATTTTCCTAAATATCGACAGATTGCATACCATAGAAGATCAGGTAAAGTAGACCAATCTGTCTCGAGATTCATTATCAAAATATTTATTATTACTCCTCTGACTATATGGAGTCTGTGCATTCTCAAACAAAGACCTTTTGTTTGCGTTCATCAAACATGCACATTCACTCATAGATCGAAAATGCGGTCAAACTGATTCCTATTTTGAAACGTTTACCCCTTAAGGTTTCTTAATCGATTATTCTTCTTTTTTTTCATTCAATGGAGAAAATTGAACATTAGCATTACCATCTACACACGTAGTCGCCACTTAATGGTCGATGGTGTTGCCTCGGTCATTCATTGTTTACTGGCTATTTTGGCGTAGCGCCCTCTGTCAACTTTTCTATATAAGTTGTATATAAACAAAATCGCAGTTGATTTTAGGAGCTACCCTAGACAAAACATTTTCTACAATTCTGATAAGAATCTTACCTGATTCTTATCAAATTCTTATATTAGATTACGCAGGAAAGTCCATGGAGTTTGATAAGAGTCTTATAAAAATCTGATAAGAAAGTCATAAGAATTTCATAAGAAAGTTATAAGAAGTTCTCATCTGTTTCTTATAGACGTGTTACAAAATGCTTATTCTTACTGATTTTGATAAGTTTCTGACATACTCTGTTTATGCAAGACTTTTCAGAAGAGTTAATTTTAAATTATTCTAGACGAGGAATTTAACGATTCCGTTTTACTCAGCAAAACAGTAAGAAACTCAATGTTTGACTATGAAACATATCATAGCTCTGAAGTCGTCACACTCTCGAGAGCTTTCTGTCTTTAGTTGTCGATATACTCAGACAAGGAATTCAAAAATCTAAAACTGGTTAGTCAGAATGTAATAGTGGGATGATCATTATTATCACAGTCCGTAATAGGTCAGTGGATAAGAGCACGGCATGACATGTAGGCCCTCGGTTACGAATCCTAGACAGATCTTATCATTTTTTCCAAATTGTTTCATATCACCAGACTTCAAAATTTTCAAACGCGATTTGAGTTCGGGGGAATGCGATATTCGGAATCAGCATGGTCGATTGCCTATGGGTCCATGATTTTTATTCCGAGGTACTTCCGAAAATTAAAGTCGGCGGCCTTAAAAAAATTCGAAAAAACATTTACGCGCTGAGGAAGATTCGAACCTCGATTCTGTATTCCGTCATAAACAGAGATTTTATCTATTGTGCCATCAACGCTCCTCAGTAAGTAGATACATTTTATACTGTAGGTGTTGCTGTTTCGTATCGATTATAATACTTTCATATCGCCTCTATAGTTTACTGAACTACGAATCTATACTCTTGTCGTTTAGTCTACTATCAAGTACAGATGTTAGAAAACGAGAACAATAAGTATGAGTATTTTTCTTTCGTATAATAAAATTTTTCGTTATTTTTCAACATTTTCTTATACTCTTTAATTTTCTTTGAATCAGAACAGATAACTCTATTGAGCAGATACCGAATGCAACTGAAGTGCATCGAATCAGCTAGAGCATCACAAAGAGAGATTGTTATACGTTAATACTCTATTTTCTGCGACAGTTTTTAGACTTGACTGCAACATGTTTTACTCGAACTTTTCTTCGAGAACATGGTTCCAGGTCGAAGCTCTACGGCCGTAAACTATAGTATACGTCGAAATATATATCCATTCCAGATAAAATACGACATCGTAATCCTTCTCCACGATAGACGCCATCGTATTTCGTCGTAAACAACTCGTATTTTGACGTATACTACAGTATCCATCAACATAAACTGTAGTGTACTGCCATTTACCGCTGTAGTAATCATTGCCCTGGGGTACACTTAGTTTCTGGAGTTTCTCTCAACCATCCAGCATTCTCACTATGCCATAGTTTTTGTATTACAACCAATTTCTGAAAAAGATTTTATTCTTTTTTGTACACATACAATGATCAAAGAAAACGTTGGAAAAGTGGGAGGAATTCACCTCTCTACTTCCTCACCGAACCTGCGATGTGTTGTTTTAGTTATTACCTGTTTCTCTCAAATTTGACGCTAAACAGGTAAGAGCAGGAGATATAAATGTGTGCAGATCACGTTGAGTCGATTTTGCAGTTTATATCTCCTGCTCTTACCTGTTTAGCGTCAAATTTGAGAGAAACAAGTAATAACTAAAACAACACATCGCAGGTTCGGTGAGGAAGTAGAGAGGTGAATTCCTCCCACTTTTCCAACGTTTTCTTTGATCATTGTATGTGTAC